TACCCGTGCCCCCGTTAGAAAAGACATTGTGTTGTATTGAACAGTGCTTGAACAAAACACTCTCCACAAGACTGTTTGACAAGTGGGATGATTTCAACTTTCCTTCATGTCGAGCAATATTCAAGCACCTACAGCCTTTGGTGTTTACATTTCGCAACTTTTGATGTACAATCTAGCATGCTCTTTCTACAAAGATTTCAAAGCGCGCCATAGACTCTTGTTGAAAAGTAGTTTGATCAAGGTTACAACATTCAAGGCCTCAGTAAAGCTTTCAAAAAGATTAATGGTAGATATGCAGGGGGCATTACCAAATTTGAGGCATCAGTGCCTAGAATGATGTCCTATGCAGTTCCCTATTTTGACGTGTACCATATACTAGTATTCCCGTGCTTTTTTCAGGTGAACAATTGACTTGCCTTTGTGCGTGTTTGTGACGGGTGCCACCGGTGGGGCAGGATACGCTCACCGTTTCGCGAACACCTGGTATCATCACCATTTGATAGGGATTCATAAACACATGCTCATGATATAGTCGGACTTGTATAATGGATTCTGCTTTCGGCGGAGATTTCTTATGAATATGGAAAGGGTTTTGAGGCTTTTATTTACTAAAAATCGTATTCTTTGGCGGAGAGGTATTTTCTTTTGCATCATATACACAGTAAAAAAAGTGTTGCACCCCCACATTAATACGTTTGATACATCACAACATTTAAAACGCCCGACTCTGGTTTTAATGGTAGGTATTCCTTGGGGATCTGATGTTAAATGTGTAATGTTTTCGGAGGGAAGATGATCACCAAAACGTAGCAATCAGCACGTGAATTGCATGGTGCATGACATTTGCAGATTGCAGTATCTTCTTAAGCTCAACATCGCCTATAAAAGATGTTCTCTGACAGCCCAGTTTATTGTAACCCACAATGCCGGGTAGACGATTGTCAGAAGCAGTCAAGTGGCAGATTATTGGCCTTCATGGAGCAGGTCTTTCGTTCAAGGAGATTGGCAGAAGAACCGGACATTACTACTCAACAATAAGCCGTTTGGTCAGAAAACACGCACAAACTAATGATGTAAGGAATCGCAGACCCTCTGGCAGACCACGTAAGACCACAGTTAGAGATGACAGAGCGTTGTTGAGGGTGGTAAGGCGTCATCCATTTGCTACAAGCACAACCTTGAAACGTCTTTGGCTTCCTCGTCAACAGTTCAGTACCCAGACCGTGAGAAATCGTCTTAAAGCTGCAGGGTTGAAGTCCAGAAGGGTTATCAAGCAACCTAAACTCACAGACAACCACAAACGACTACGTCTAGCCTGGTGTAGACTGAGACAGAACTGGAACTAGAGGTCCTGGAGAAGAGTCCACTGGTCGGACGAAAGCAGGTTCCTTCTGCATGTTGTGGATGGCAGAGTGAGAGTATGGAGGCGTCCTGGAACAGCTTATACTGCAAGAAACATCATGCCAACTGTACCATATGGAGGTGGATCTGTTATGGTCTGGGGATGCTTCTCATTTGATTGTAAGCTTGATTTAGTGACCATACGAGGCAACTTGACAGGGGAGCGCTACATCCAAGAGGTGCTGAATCCAGTTGTGGTGCCCCATTTTGACAATCATCCACTGGCCACCAGACCGATATTCATGGATGACAATGCCAGACCACATCGTTCACGAGCTGTGACCCAGGTTATCCACAACAATGCTCTGACGCAGATTCCATGGCCAGCAATGAGTCCAGATCTGAATCCTCTGGAACATGTATGGGAAATTTTGGGACGCCTGATTTATCGTCGGGACCCTCCTCCACAGAACTTGCGTGAATTGGAAGCAGCATTACACGAGGAGTGGCAGCAGCTGCCCATGGAGCGATTCCAACGTCTGGTGAGGAGTATGAGACGAAGACTTCAAGCTGTGATCCAAGTGCTTGGTGGAAGTTCTCGATATTGACTTACTGTGTTCGTCAAATCTCCATATGACATTCTTACCCTATTGGATGAATTTGGTCACTAAAAATTATTGAGATGTCACCAAACTTAATGCGTCTTCGTTGTTCGTTCATTTTTCGTAAAAGTTCAGCATGAGATTATTACATGCCATAAGGTCATGGAATACCCCCTTTAAGTTCATTGTATAGACAATACACTGGTTTGTTGGTATACACGAAATCCTGGTTATAATATTAATTCGGTTATCTTTACACCCTTTCAAAACACCCCTCCATGAAAAAGTATAGGGGGTGCAACACTTTTTTTACTGTGTATATATTGAATGGTTGAATATTTTCTTAAGGTTCTTTCACGCCAGTGCGGATGCCAGTTATGAATATTAGTCTCAAGTAACCTATATTTGTTAAAAGAGATATATTTTGTCATTGCATCCCGATTGCCTGGATGGTTGTATATGGTTGAGTGTCTGGTGTAGACTTGATTATTTACAGACCGCAGTTATATAGTAGGAATACTGGTAGTGTGGCGTTAAACAAAAAATTTAACATTTCGTCCTTTGTATCTACTCCAATCTTAACAGTAGTTGTTCCCTTTCCTCCTGAATTTTGATTTTGATACCTTGATTGTGATTCCCTCGAAAAGAAACAAAATCTGTTTAGCCTAATGCTTGATTTTCTGGAGAAGACAAAGTCTTTTAACAATTCTTAAAGGATATTCATTATATATTATACACTCGAAGTCACGGCTGAGTTATGTACTTGCATACATATATATTCCAGGCTGACAGCTGTACAAGGTTTATTGAGGGCACATGCTTGCCGTAAAGCGACAATGCTTGTCGTAAAAGGCGACAAACGGATCGGGTGGTCAGGCTCGCTGACTTGGTTTAACATGTCATCGATCCCAATTGCGTGGATCGATGCTCATGATATTAATCACTGGATTGTCTGGTCCAGACTCGATTATTTAGAGACCGCCGTCATATAGCTGGAATATTGCTGAGTGCGGCGTTAAACAACAAACCAACCAACCAATCTTGAGGGCACCTGTCTGGCTTGACTGCCTGCCATCCATAACATCAGCAGGAGTGAGTGAGAGAGTATGGTTTTACGCCGCTTTTAGCAACATTCCAGCAACATCACGGCGGGGGGACAACACAAATGGGCTTCACACATTGTACCCATGTTGGGAATCAAACCAGGGTCTTTGGCGTGACGAGCGAACGCTTTAACCACTAGGCTACCCGACCGCCCCACATCAGGAGGCAGACTGAAGGAAAGCCAGAAGGTGGCGGAAGGTGGAATGGGGAGTTCTGAATCATGCATTTGCAGACTTCAATTAATTTCAGGACCTGTAAAGAATATATTTTCAGATCAAAACTCTTTGACTAGATATTTTTAATGAGAAAAATAACGCAGGTCGCAGTAGACATTCCCGGTAAATCGTCCTCAACATTACATTGGCCTGAACACTGCTTGAACCAAGCTTCAGGTCTCTGGGTGTGGTGGCAAGCAACCAGCAAGCTGCCACATAGTGATACGTCGTGTATATATGAGCTTTAAATATGTATGGATTACAAACGGAAAAACAAACACGTATCAGTGACTGGTTCCAGAACATGACAACCATTCCACAAAGACATGCCTTACAAGGTAACAGAATCTCATTTACAAGGTTAAATGATTCCACAGAGTTTTCTTGTTAATTCCAAACAAGAGGACAAAGTCATCAATAACAACTGCAATGATAAATACTTGTGAATAAATCTATGAAACTTGTTCCAATGAAAATGTCTGTTTAAAACATCCCAAACTTTACAAAAGCACCAGTTCACCACTAGATCTATCTATGTGCCAGGTTTGGTGAAGAAATATCATACCCCCGCAAAACGCCACACAGCACATTCCTGGCTCAGCTGACCAGTGTAGCAGCTATAAGGTTGCTGCATGATGTACGACTTCCATACCCCTGTGAAGATCTAGGTAAGCATTGCCCTTCAGCAACCCATGCTTGTGGTAAAAGACGACTAGAGGGATCGGGTGGTGTGGCTTCTTGACGTGGATGATACATGTCATCGTATCCCAGTTGAGTAGATGCTCATGGTGTCAATCACTGGATTGTCTGGTCTATAGTGTGGTGTGATGCAAACAAAACATCTAGAACAGGTGTTGCTGCTGTCAACTGTTGATAAGTCCATTGTTAGTCTCAGTGGCACCCCCCGTGAAGAATAGGTCTTCAGCAACCCATGCTTGTTGTCAGAGGCGACTAACGGGATTAGGTGGCCAGGCTCGCTGACTTGGTTGATGCATGTCATTGTATCCTCCCAATTGTGTGGATCGATTTTCATGATGTCAATCACTGGATCATCTGGTCCAGACTGCATTTTGACAGACTGCCTATATAGCTGGAATATTGCTGCTGAGGGCCGTGTTTAACAACAAACAAACAAACAAACTGAGTGGCACACTATATATATATGTGTACATGTACACCAGCATGGTCCCTCAGCCATCAGAATACAACCATGGCTTTGTTCACCATACCCAGTGTATCCTGCATGACTGTCATTACTCTTAATCATTTGGTATTCATAGGTAGCATTCATGCACACAATAACATCATGAAGACCATATTTGGGTTCAATCTATAAAAGAACTACAGTAAACTATGGTAATAACGAACACCCTTATAATGAACTGATGGATATAACAGACTACAATTAGTGGTCCCCTTGAGTTCACTATAACCGTACTTTGCAGCATAGTGTCAAATGAGCTCACAAAGACATCACTGGTCGAAATAAGCTTTATTTCATGAGGACCATCTTAAATTATTGGAATCACATATTCAGTTGGATTAATAATAATAATAATACCGTATTCGACGTAATAAGCGCCCTGCTCTAATTAGCGCCCACAGTGATATTTGAATATATACTGGCTAGTGAACAATCCCAATTAGCACCCCTTCCGATTGATCAATGTACAAAAGATGTATTTATTCGTGTATAATATGTGTCTTATATGCATCCTTATTTAGGGCAATTAAATCCTGGAAAAAATATATCTGTCGTATATTAACATTTCAGGTTGTCAGTATAAACCATGAAATTTACGATCTTTCAACTCTGTTGTTTTTCACCAAAATAATATTGTAATAAGAGCCCCCTATTTCTATTTTTGAGAACGCCCTGGGTGCTTTTTATGTCGAATATAATAATAATAATAATAATAATAATAATAATAATAATAATAATAATAATAATAATAATGGCCTCATGGTGGCAGTGAACAATGAACTGTTGTTTTTAACTGGACAGTACAACAGCATACGCCTTCAGTCACAATCACATCCATTTGCTATTTATCCAAACCATGCCATGCTTAGGTTTACAAATAGCTGAAATAAAAGCAAATTTGAAAGAAATTTATTTTTATTTTTTCATCAGATTTGACCAAGCAAATCTGTGATCCAAGAAATACAAGGAAGATTTGTCTAAACCTTGTCAAAAGTATCGGCAATTTTCAGCAGTACAAAGGTAACCATGCCACAATGTATTTAACAAAACATTTCAATAGCTGTGAGTACCACAAATTGATAATCACATGTAAACAAATGCCCTAACATGATCACAAAAGGATTATCACACAGGCACATATATATATTCATACAAATATTGTTTGTGTAAACATCATAAATAATCACCAATTTTCTACAGCAATTCTCAGCTAATGAACACATTCATGTACAAGTCCATATGTATATACAACTTTTCCATATCTGAACACTAGTTGACTTTATCAAACATAAAGTAACGTCAAATAACTATACAAAATGACCCTAGCAATCTCATAATGTAAAACTAAAAGATAATTTCATATGTACGATATATATATACATTTCGCAAAGGCTGAAGGTGAGAATGTGATTTTGATTTCTGATTAAACTGATTCACATGACGATTTGCTTAATTTTAATGGACGTTTGAAAGTTCCTCCTAGAATAGGAAACTATAGCTTTGTTACAGCTGCATGTATGCCTAATATTCATTCAAGTCAGCACTAAACAGATGCAAGTATTTCATATTAGTTTATATTCCCATTATATAACAAGCTTTATCTCAATGCACTTGAGGAACAAGTTCTCAACTATAAGTATATTCCACTGAGGATGTTTATGATGCTAAATTGAAAGAATAATGATATACATTAAAATCTTTCTCATACAGCGAAACGATAATAATTTTGTTATCTGCCACTACATTCACTGTGTTACCTCCATTGATTAAGCTTTACAAATGGGTGCCATGGTTTCCATGCCTCTTGACTACTCAATCATAAGCCTCTGTAAGGTAAAAATTTGGTTTTATAACGAAGGGCAGTACGAAAGTGTAAGAAAACATACTCGTATGTTAATGATGATATATTGCAATACATATCACAACCCAGACGTAATTCTTGCAACATATTGTAGTATGACATTGGCAATACACAGCCCCACGAACTTGCAAGTAAACGATACAGATACAAGTCTGTGTTTGATATTGTAGTAGCTTGGCACTTCTGGCGGCGGCAGTGTATTGCATCTAGATGAAGGTCATCTTGGCTGAATGTGTGGTCAGTGAAGGGTCAGACTCCGATCTTGACCCTAGACTTTTCTCAGACGGACTGCAAGAGCATGGAAAATTACAAGAGCATGAATTCAAGTGAATGGGTGAGTGAGTAAGTTTTCATGCCACTTTTAACAATATTCCTGGTTTTGCACACACAAATGTACCCATTTGAAGGCAGAAGGAAAAAAATTTTTTACCACAGGGTTATCTGAACCCTCATTCAAGTTTAGGATTTTGTTTGTTGTTTAACGCCGCACCGAGTAATATTCAAGCTATATGACAGCAGATAGATTTTGGTCTAGAGCCTACGATACAGAATCAGATTTGCATTTGTTTTTTATAGCTGATAAAATGTTGGGCTTAGCATTAACTCCCAATCTTACATTTTCAACACTGATATCTGTAATTCAAAAACAATTTTTGGTTATGTAGGTAAGGTGAGGTGAAATTGGGTTTAACGTCGCGTCCAAGATTATTGCACTTATACAGCGACGTGCATGCACGTGTGTGTGTGTGGCTGCTTGTACTAGTCCGGACTGATGCCAATTTATAGTGTTAGCACAGAGACACCATGCCGCAGTTTAACATGAATACCTCACTCAGACACAGTATACTGACTCCGAGCCGACCAGTCCTTGTTTTAGCTCCTTACAACAAGTGCCCTCTTTTAAGTCTTTTGGTATGACGCGGCCGGGGATAGAACCCCAGACCTTCGACTCTCCGAGCGGACGCTCTACCACTAGACCATGGAGGTGGACTTTTGGCTTTGAAGGACAGCATAAGTTGCATCTACACTTGTCTTTCAAATGTTTTTTCTTCTGAAGCCACTGTGAAAGGCTTCAGCTGCCACAGTGTTCATGGCTCCTTCCGAAGTGACAGTTTTTCCAAAACTCACCTGCCCATGGACAAATTATCTCCGCTGCCAGACGCTGGCATTCTCTTCCTGCGAGTCGGAGCTGAGGGAGGCGGCATCATGTCACGATCTGGTTTGGAGAACTGGGGGAAAATTGTAGCAATACTCATTACAGGGAACCTTCTTCAGGGCAAAATATTCACATTCAAAAGAAACAAAGAGTTATTTAATAAGCCTGACATAAATTCCTACAATTACTGGTATGTAGCCAGTAGTTGAAGAAACACCCCTACTGGATTGCCAAACAACTTTTTCCCCTTTTCAGAAACACATTAAATGGCCTGGCCGGGCCCGTGTGCGAAATACGCTGCAGTCGGAAAGCGCATGTGAAATCTCCAATATAAGTAAGTAAGTAGCTTCCCACTGTGAACATACCGATCCCTTCCTGGACGAGGACGGGGAGGACGTATTGCTGCCGGGTGGGGAGGAATCAGGCGTGGACTTCTCCCCCCTCAGGTTCTCGGACGACCCATCCCAGCTGGACCTGAACGTCTGGGTGCGGGTGATGCTGGAGGTGGCTTGAAGTAGCGAGGAGATCGCCCTGGCGCGGTGACTTTTCCTGAACGACATCGTCCTCATGAAGGAGTCATCCAGAGAACGCCCAGAACCTGAGAAGTAACCCAAATATTTGTTCAATCCTTACCCGTGATTATCTCGATCACTTCTCGTGATTCGTACATCTACTTACCTTACTGTGTACACACTGTCTGCAGTTCCTCCTTGCCTGTCCCTTATCCTAACACTTCGATCAGCTTGGTTTGATAGAATCTAGATCTTATGGCTATGTCTTAACAAATTCCGTTATTGAATTGTCAATCAATAATTATTTATTTTAGCCACTGAGACATAATTGACATTACTTTTTTACATTTTTTTCAGATGTCAAGTCATTGAAGTCCTGAATGTGATATACCATAGTCAGTATTCTTGGTATTTCAAACAAAATGTTTTACAAAAAATATGAAGAAACTCATGTCAGACGTATATTTTTTGTATGTTTTGAATGCAGTTCCAACAGTCTGTGATGCCCACAGATGACCATGACTAACACAAGTAAATACACAGATGACTACCCTCCACAGTTGACACATAACACAAGCACAACTTAACCTACGTTGTTTACATTATCAATACAGGAAATTGACGTATGTTGATTTCAGCACTAGACACAATACCTGCTCTACTCGACAGTGTCAGTCGGTGTTGATACAGTACCAGTCTGTGTTGATACAGTGTCAGAGGGACACATAACGCTGGATGTGTGGATGAATGCCTGTTTACTTACAGCACTGCTGCATCTATTGTCTGCCATCACTCATGGATGTGTTACACAGCAGGGGTTTACCAATGTGCTCACTGGCATATACTTCTACAATTGACACTTGATCAATTGAAATCAAGGGGAATGAATCTAGGGACACATAGATCTTTACTGTTTAACATCAGGGTTAGGATGAAGACCCCTCCACTTTCAAGTTTAGTTTCAAGCAGTGCGATTACCTGATTACAGGCCAACAAAACACATTCTAGAACTGTACAAGCAAAGGTGTATCAAAAACAGGCCCAAAATTGTAGCTTGACACTCTCCAGCAGATTTTGGTTAAAATGTAGGTTGTCATTGGCAAAGTGTACCAGACCAATCAAAATTATTCATAACTCGGACTTCAGACACTTGGCTGAAGTGACAGACTGTTAGCATGGAATTTGTTTAACTGCTATAGGAACAAACCAATCCGTCAACCACACAGAGAAAGAAGCAGTCTTCTATAGTTCTACAGGTACAGATCAGCAGGAGGCCAAACAAAAAACACATTTTTGTTTCTGGTTCCAAGCCAACAAGTATGGGTCAGCAGCTTGGGTTCTTTTTGAAATTTGATATATTTTTAAAGAAAGCTCAACACCAGTGGCTTGTTTAGGCCAGTTGGTTGCAATGTTTCTCAAATTCGTAGGTCAATATTCAACAAGAAACGATAGATAACATGTAGAAACATCTGATTTTTATCGACTACTTCTGTGATGAAAACATATGCGTGATACAAGGAAACCTGAAACACAGATATGTTTATTTGGCCTAACAACATACAGGATGTAAGTGTGACACCAGTTTCAAGCCATGCACTCCTGTGATGTGATAAGTCCAGATACAACAAACTGATGGAATGTCACATCAGTTCTTGTAGTCTGGAGATGGCGTCACTGAGGACATCATGTTCTTTAAGCAAGAATACCATGGGGGTACTTACTAACAGCAGCCTTAGAAATGTGTCGAATGTAAACTTTTTTCACAAGTTCTGAAGACTTATTGGGGAGTTCTGCTTGAACAAGACAAACATGTTTACATTGTTTATTTACTATGCTTATATTCTGTCAGTTTCATTCGCTTCTGAATTGTACCAAAATTGAAGCATAAAGAACTTGTTCAGAACTACAGCCCTCAAATGCTACTTGTCTGAGGACTACCATCATTGGATTTTTACTTGTCACAGCACAATTCAATAGTCACAGGCCAGGAGACAAGCATGAATTTCTAAGGCTGTAACTGTTGCAAGTGTTATTATTTAACATATACTACTCAAAAGAAGTTAAAGAAGACTCTATTTTTTCGTATGACTCTAGATAATTCATGGCTGGTGGGTCTTGCAACACACACTGTGACACAGCCTTCCAATTGTGGGTGTTCCTTAACTTTTTTGAGTAGAATATGTTTTGTCACTGCAAGTATTGTTTCTGTCATGTACAGCTCATAAAAAGCATTCAAGAATAGTTGTCCTTAGTGTACAAAATGCAATGAATGAATATATACAAGCAGGTCGAGCACCCATTCACAAAGGAACAGAAGCACCATGAAGATCAACAGTCATAGTTAACTTAAACAAGTCATCACTGGGACTGTTGTATGAAATAAGCCCAAGGGTCCACTTGCACAAAGTGATCTTAGCACAACAATAATAGTAACACCAATCCTTTATCATAAACATATGATAGTCTTAATGCTAAGACTGCTTTGTGCACGTGGGCCTTGGAGTCCATGTAAAGTCCTCAGAACTCTTTGAAGGAGGCATGGGATGTTTGTTTTTGTTTGTTTGTTTGTTGTTTAACACCGCACTTGGCAATATTCCTGCTAAAAGACGGCGTTATGTAAATAATCGAGTCTGGACCAGACAATCCAGTGATTGACGTCATGAGCATCGATCCATGCAATTGGGATACAATGAAATGCATCAACCAAGTCAGCGATCCTGACAACCCGATCCCGTTAGTAGCAAGCATAGTCACCTTTTACGGCAAGCATGGGTTGCTGAAGGCCTTTTCTACCCCGGATCTTTACAGGTCGACACAAGACTTGGGATGACACAATGTGTTTGGTATACTGTGTACAAAGCAGTCTACGTCTCTGATATTTTCATTCATTCCAAACATAACCACGGACACTGAAAGAAGCTATATGTGGCGTTAGTAAGAGTGCCATCGGCTAGGCTACTGGTTACATACCCAGATTTGATTGTAGTGTTCGGCTTAGAAGTAATTCTGTAAATTGAAAGAAGATAAATTTAAAATTGAAAGGAAAAGAAATAATTTATACAAATAAAAGAGTTTCTGAAAAAAAGGTATAGAAAGTCTGTATTCCATGTGTTAATAATTACATCATTATTCAGAACACAATTAAATTACCATCACACAATTTCATCCCTGATATGATAAAATATTTAATTATTAAATTTATATATTGCTAATCACTTTGACAATGATTCATAATCAACATGAAATGGTTGCTATTACACAACACTAAAACAACACTATACAACACTATGATTGTCACGTTTACAATATAACAAATAACAACACTAGTTCAAATTATCACACGTTCCTACACCACAGGGAAACCAACGGAGGAACATGCATGATCATAAGACACATGCCAGGCAGGTCACAAGAAACTGAATATCATCGTACAGATCAACATCTTAACCATCACCTTTCTATTCTCAGCAACTCAAAGCAGAGGTCAAATGGGAAATCAAAATGTTGAAATAATTCACAAATCAATACCATGCGAAGGAAACAAATCAATAGCACTTTAACTTGTACATGCTTCATCTTAAAAGGAAAAACAACAAATTTGATTTTTTTCTCATTGTAGGAAAAATACATAAAGTAGATTTACATATACAACATATGCTGTCCCCTGCTTGGTATGAATAAGTGTATCTAGATGATGTTTGTTATGTGTCTATGCGGATTAGTGTTTTGTGTGCTGTGATTCTGATGTGAGATGTTATCATTGAATGATGAAGTCACTTCCTGTTGAAAATCAGCTAAATCGTCACCCTCATGTCATATGATACTAAATCCTGCAAGAACTCAATCATCTGGGGCACCGACTATGAAAACTGCAGCCCTTGTCACCATGATGCACAAGCAGCACTTCCCTACTCCCCGTGATGAGGCAACCAGAGGCATTGCAACTTCCTCTAACACAGCTTTAGCATCTGTCTGCGTTAATCTGAGAGTTCCAGGAACATTGACTATCTCCTCCTTGGGCTTTCCTTGCATCTCATGCACATTGCATCCAGGAGGGGTCATGGGAACCCATTATAACTAGAATGAATAGCATTATCATTAAACTGCCCGCTAGTCATCTGAAATGAGTGGGCCACTGTAACTTGATAATGCCCTCATATTGCTTGACGACGGGCTATTGTCACGCCTGTTAGGTGACGTCATTGGAATAGGGAAAGGTGGCGTCACGTTCATTAGTGACGTCATCTGGTTTGTTCTATGATGTTTCTATACATGTATTTCTAAAAGTGGGTCAGTGAAATTTGTATTCATTGCACTAAATGTTTAAAATGTTTTTATTTGATAACAAATTCTATCCATATCAGCTTTAATAACGGTAACGCTATTTTTCAGGGCATTATCATTTGCAGAAGCCCTCTGTCTTTTCAACTGCCCTCCTTCGTCGGGTAGTTAATGGAAGACCTCAGGCTTCTGTAAATGATAATGCCCTGAAAAATAGCGTTACCCTTATATTAATCAGTCCAAATGTTAGGTAGAGCTATTTATGTATAACGGTGGGGCAGTCAAGTGATTCAAGAATTTGCCAGGTACGTCTTGGTTCTATTCCCTACATGGGTAGAATGTGTGGGAACCCCTTTTCTGGTGTCCCCTGCCACTATAGTGCAAGGACATTGCTAAAAAAACAACTGAGAGGCAAAAGTAAATGATGAAGTAATAAACCCAGAAAGGAACATTCAAACGTTCTGAATGTTAAGTTGCAAGATTTTAGCATTGCCGGTATTTATCAAACACAGTAACAGCGGACTTCATGACAAGTAAATAATGTTTATCTTTGTGAATAACTCGATTTTAGTCTCAAATGCTCTCAAATATGCAGACGAGTTGAGGTACATAAAGGTATTAATATTGATTAATTTCCTAATCTGTTAATATCATTTCATGCCTAACATACTGATGCAGGCTGGTCTCCTCATTCAAATGTCAGTGAATAGGATACGTGATTAGTTCCTGATGCAGTGCATGGTCATGAGGTGGATGATGATGATGATGACGATGATGACAACGATGATGATGATGATGATGATGATGAAGAATCATGATGGTGACGACGACGATGACAACGATGATGATGATGAAGAATCATGATGGTGACGACGACGATGACAACGATGATGATGATGATGATGATATGAGATTATAAATAACTCCTGTGACAGGTGCCCCCTTCAATCATCTATGTACCGTGTTGTTATAAGTTCAGTGATTTGTCGCTAAAGATGTGATGTCAATGTCTATTTCATTACAACAGAAGGCACAAGCACAGTGACCACCCAGGTGGGAATATCATGCACATGTCCCTTCACATGTCAAAGTGGGAAATAAGTTGCAACAACTTACCATCACATCAAATGCATATTTTCACTCGGCTGAAAGTTGTCTATTTCAAACAAAAATACATAACTGACAGCTTACACCGTCCCTGTCAAAATGTTTGATTCGAGGGCAATTCATAGTCAAACACTACCTGGCGTATAACAGTACTTATATACAGTATTATAACAGTACATCCACACAGTATTATAACAGTACTTCCATATAACAGTACTTTCACTCACAGCAATGCCATAACTACTGTCATATTACTATTAGTACAACAACAAAAATCACACAGGTCACTTGTACCATGAAGCACTTAGGAGCATTATCAGTTAATATTCTAATGTATTCCATAAAAGGTTTAACATATTAAAAAATCACTGTTTACTGATAGAATTACTGGAAAATTGGTTTGATTCTCAAAGTTCATATTTAGTATGATTAACAAGTTTAGTATAGAGTTACATATGACAAACAAATAGATACTGCCTAAGATTTTCCAACAAAGATGTTTACCATAGCAGGTGGAAAATATCTTTGCAAGAGGAATTGAAACTAGCCTTCTATTTAAGCCATACTAAATCACACATGTACATAAAGACACACACAATATAAATGTTTATATCAAATAGTGTCTTGTGTCAATTTAACATAAAAAATAAGAGTTGAATTAAAATAAATAATTAATGAAAAGATAATTTTTATAAATGTCTTTCTGATAGAACTCCTTTGTGGAGTTAAAATTTTAATGATTCTTAAACATTGTAATCTGTGATGTTGGAATTCATTGAGATGAAAATCTTCAGAAGAGGTGGAATATTGAAAAGTTCAAGTCAGGTACAATCCTCACAGTGCCAGACCACCCAAATCTCTGACAGCCTCCTGCAAGGATTAGCGTCCTGATCCAAATCAGGTGATAAAATAAAATGATGAAAGAATGTCTAAATTAAAAACACAAAAAAAATTATTTAACATTTTAAAAATAAGAGCCAGCAGTATTCTATATTTTCAATAGACATGAAGTTAAACAGGGATGGTCAGTAGTCAATGGTCTGTTTGTTTGTTGTTTGACGCTGCCCTCAGCCATTTTTCAGCTATGTGATGGCGGTCTGTAAATACTAAATTATCCAGTCAGGACCAGACAATCCAGTGATTGACATCATGAGCATCGATGTACGCAGTTGGGATGTGATGACATGCATGAACCAAGTCAGCGAATCTGGCCCTCTGATTCTGTCAGTCGCCTCTTACAACAAGTGTTGGTTCCGGAAGACCAATTCGAACCCGAATCTTAACGGATATCAATGGTCAGGAGTCAATGGTCAATCATTAGTGGTCACTGGTCAATCGTCCACAGTCAGGGTCATTTAGATCATAGCAGGATTGGGATAAGGCAATGCAAGAATTTAGAAATCTTGAGGTAAAATTGGTAACATGTCATGACAACTTCTTCAGTCTTAAACCTGAATATTTGGTAAGGTAAAGTGAAACTTGGACTGTGAAGGTCCACGGATAGTGTCGACACAGGAACCTAGTACAACCTAGACTCTGGTGCTGGTCTTGGGAACGGAGGATTTGATTGAAAGTGACTGAGATACTTGATGGCGTCAGAGATTAATGGCTTGGCAATGGGAGGACGCTGGAAACAAGAGTTTGTAGAACTGAATATTAATATCAATAGAAGATATAATAGAGTTGCACTGGCAGCAGTTGGGTGTAGATCAGAAGTAATATCAAGAATAGCATATATAATGTTTTAACAAACCTTATAAATGCTTATCAATCTTTGCCATTATGGGCAAATTCAAAAACTGCTCTGGTGATTTACTTTGTTATAAAACTACCTGAACAAGAATGGTTTCCACAATTAAGATAAATAAATTAAAAACATAAGTCCCACATCCATCACTTGAGAGAATGAGAACAAAGTGAGCATATGAAATTAAGTAAGAAGAGCAACATGTTACAAATCTTATAAATAATCCAGTTCCTGGGGATTAAACTCCATGTATCTACTTTATCTTGGCAGTTCATCCTCGGCAGTGCATGTCACAGCATCTGACGTTGTCCTGGCTCCACCAGGGCAGTGCTGAAGACTGGCGTGATGCTTCCAGGTTATAACAGAGCTTGAAGATGTAAAGATTCAGACAAGCCAAGAAAACTGATGCAGAGGATGTGTGAGGTCTCAAAATATGGCCTTCACAACAATCTTCTGTCTTGTGTGGGAGCATCCACTCACCTTCCGAACCAGCATGTTTGGTTCATTTTCTTGGAGACTGATAGATTGTCATCCAAATATCCTGCGGGTTTTTCTCAAATTTGGTAATAACATTGAAAAATATCTTATCAAAAGTCGATAAATTCACAAAAATGTCTACATGCCATTTATCTCCAGCTAAATCTCCGAGACAAGTTCGGCAATAATACCCAAATGATGACTTTTAATGCTTTCAGTTTTGCAAAAAATGACTCAGGAAGAAATTGTTACCATGGTAACCATGAAATGAAACAGTGTGAACATTCAGAATTCCACATGTTCCAACACAATCCAAGTTCCAAACATCACATGTATACATGTAGAGCGCGAGTCTCCGACTACATACAGCAGACTCCATTATCTCCAGGTCAAG